TTGCAGACAGCACAATTCAAGATATCCCTCTAAAACTTAGTGGCTCACCCTGTGTTGCACTTTCTACATGGGATTTCCCAGTGACAAGGACCAGAGAGGGGTCTCTCCTCTTGCTCCTCCTTTATAAAAGGAGATACGTTCACTAGTTAAAAAGACTCATTTTACCCTCAGAGGCTTCCAGAAAAATGCCTCAAGAGGGAAAAACAACCACCAACACTGCAGAAAACAAAATAGGTCTCAAAAATAAAAAAAGGTAACAGTGATCCCCAGATAATTCAGGAAAATCCCCAGAGGGAATCCACCTATTAAGCACCTAAACCGAGGCTGTATCCCAGTATTAATACAAGGGGCTGGGCTGGGCCTTGGAGGTCTCATTTCAAGATGATTCCTTACAGGCTAGGACGAGCAGGAGTGAAAGCGATTTGGATCGGAAATTCCATAGAAGAGCAAAAATCTTTCTAGGTTGAAGGGTGTTGTGTGGGTTTTTGGTTTTGTTTTTTTTTTTTAATGAGAAGTTAGAACCACACACACTGGGAAACAAAGTTAAGTTAAATCTAGCCCAGCTTTGCACATTTTAACAGTTCACTCTGCTGTCTGTAGAACACAGCAATATAAATATTGCTATCTCTGTTAAAATGAATTATTGACAATTTTAATACATGTTGCACAGTACATATTAATATAGAAAAATACATGTTATCAGCAGTGCAATGTTGACCATGTACTAATCCATTCCACCTGCTCAAATATTAGTGCAAATAATTATATATTTGTAATGCATCATTGCTGTCTAGTTTGAATCTCTGCCTCCAGAATAAATGTCTCTTCTCTGAAGTTGTTTGCTATTATGAGTAAAATGTTATATATTCATACTCAAATTGACTTTGGGTGGATAAGTAAAATGAGCAACCTTCAAAAATCCACTTGTCTAAGACTTAGCAAGTCATTTTAATGAATTGTTTACAGTAAAATGAATGTTATAAAAATATTTCAGACACAAGCTCGTATTAGCTGGCTTCTCTACAACACTCAAATACCACGCGTCAAAACAGTGTAGGGTTCAAAATGACCATCTTCAACTGGCAGCATCAACTGAGGTGAACCTTAACCACGTCTTTCAGCAGGCGCTATTAACCCTGATACCGTGCAGTTTGTCTGCCTACGAATCGATTCTGGGGACATCATCTCTCCACAGTCTCACCTTTCTTTTCAAGCAAAGGGGTGGCCTTGATGAGGTTGGACACTGGGTAGAACAGCAGCTCCTGTCCCCGACGGACCGATGATCAGAATGGGAAAAGTAGATATACAAGATGCTGCAAGGGCTCGTTTGTGCCAGGCTATACCCTTGGCTAGAAGTGAGGTTGGGACAGGGCTGAGAAGGACAAGGGCAGCCCTGAGAACAGATGAGGTGGGGTTAAGGGGGGTAAATTGCTAGGGAAGACCGTGGTGCAATCAGCCAGTTGACGAAGGGGTGGGGAGCAGAAACAGCCCCCAAAAACTTACAGACTCCCATTGTGCACACAAAGGGGAGGAATGAAAAGGATCGACGTCTCTTAGTCCGTTCTCTCCTCTACCCTTGCTAAATCCAGGTTTGAGAACAACAGACGACAGTGTGAGGCCGTTTTCAGCAGCCACTGCTGCCGTGGTGCCTATCTCCCAAAACAGCATTTGTTTCTTCACGCTCTGGCTCCAGCAGTCTTACGGACAATTTCAGTTTTCCGTGAAAGATGACAGAGAAGCTTTAACACTTCAAGAAGAAAAATTTGGAAGTATCAACTTTCAAATAATATTGTATATTAGAAGATCAACTGAACAAGCCGGCACTTACAGCTAAGTGTCTCGTGAGACAGTCACACAGGCTATACTCCAAAATTACATTACTGGGGTGGAAAAATTCTGAACCTCCAAGGATGACAGCCTGTAGCTCGAAGCTACTGGACCCTTTTGGGCAGCCTATGCAGGACAAGCAAAGATCGCTTCTGTAGCACAAAGGGGACACGAGAGCCTCACGCTACTCTATGCGGAGGCTACGCAACCAGGGGAGGGCAAGGACAGGCAGAGAACGTGCGTGCTGACGCAGGGGCAAGCTGCTCGGATGGGACCAGGACAGGCTTGAGCATGGCAAGGGTGGGAACCGCCACAGCCTGCGGCTCGGCCAGCATTACAGCCTCTGCTGCAAGGTCTCCTCGCTTCAGAGGGGAAAGAGCAGTGCAGACGAGCAGGATTTGGGACCGCTATAAGGAAGTCTCAAGTTTATTTTCATCCCAAATCAGGATGAAGAACTTAAATGACAAATAAATAAATAAACTACAAATAAAATTGCAACGTATCTTGACCCTCAAGTATCAAAACAATTCATTTTGGTTTATTAAGCTGTTCTCAAAGATACTATTCAGAGATGGCTCAACTTTACATTTCATGTTACTTTCCTGGCACATTCCCTAACGGATGCTGATACCTGACACTTTTCCCCCCACGGCTGGTCCCTTACATGAAGTTTCAATATAATGCACCGTACAGCCATGTCAGGAGAGAGCGTGTACTAACAAAGACCTGCAGAGATGAGAGAATATGGGGAAGGTAGAGGAATAAAGGGGAAGGGAGCTAAACTCCTTCTCCTACCAGGCTACATGTGGATGAAGAACTACTAGATAATATGCAAAGGTCTCCTAGAAGCCATGCTGCAAAATTAAAGGTTTCTTTCTCTCTGGTAGTGTGGTAAGAGGGGAAGGGATATTGCAATCCTGAGATCTGGAAAGGAAAACAGGGCATAGGGATGTAAAGCTGATAGAATAAAAGTAGAAGCCAAGGCTTCTACGTACACTAAGGGCTGTATTGACACAGAGTAAGCAGTGCTCCATACAAGAGAAAAGACGACAGGCAAACACAGCTGCTTCCCCACTCTAAGATAAGCAGAAGACATGGTATAGAAATCTTGTAGCACCAAAAGAAATTAGGATGGAGGAAAAAAAAAGACAAGCAAAGCAGTGAACATGACTGGGCAGGAGATCTGGCTCTCTCCCCTCCTTAAAACAGGTGTAGAAACACCGGGAAAGAAAAAACAAACAAAATATTCCAGTGTAGATTCCAAAACACAACTCCATCTCCACTTACAACTTACACAGAAGTGGTGGTGGTGGGTAATGCCCTGAAGCCAATATCCAGCAGAACATGAGGACAGGAAAGGTGCTCCTACCTTTCAGTTGTCCTCTAGAAGAGTGGCTTTTGGTGCTGGCTTATCCTCCCTACTGCTCCTGGGACAAGTGCAAAGGAGAAGAGCTGCTACCTGCGTCTAAAATTAGACAAGCAATTATTTAGATATCTGCTTCCTTCGTACAGGAAAAACCATCACCTCAGCCTGGTTTCCCTATCCATGACTGGTTCAACCCAAGTGCTAATCCAAATTAAGAGTTATTGCCATGAAAACTTAACCCAAAGAGCACCCCTCTGTTTTGGAATATGCCATGACATCGAAAACTGAGTATATTAAATTTACTGACGAGCACATATTGGCTTGAGGAACCTGGAACTACGAGCTTCTGAAGAACAGGCCAATGTGTACTGGACCCATGAAGGAATGTAACGGGCCTCTGCCTCTTCAGGGCACTTGGTAAGATGCAGCATTTTTGCCACACATTTGCAACATTTCCTACAGAAATGGAGGAATCAATTCAGACACCACTCAATCCCAACACCCCAGCACCAGCTAAGATGGCAGAGGATTGATCCTTAGGCAACTGAAAGGGTGAGCTATCTGTGGCAGTTGAACACTGAAGCAACCAGTGATTTAAAACGACTTTGTAAAAGCTGAGAAAAAAAAAACCCAAAACAAAACCTAACCCAAGTTCTCTTATTGATTGCGAGAGAAACTGATCTGCCACGTCTCAGTACTGTGCCATTCTCAAGTCAAGTGTCACCATTCTCCAGATCACTGTAGTCTTCAAAGAAAAAAAAAAATAAGCTCAGCTCCGGCAAATTCTCCTTCCCACCAATCAGCCTGCACGTTGCTGATGCATTTCTACTCCTCACAGTGGAGATAAGCAGAGCTGACATTCACAGCATCACTACCTATCCTTCAGAGCAGATTTACACTCCTGTGTGGATGGCCTCTTCCAGTTGCATCCAGCAGTTTCAAGATGAACAGCTCCACGCCAAAGTATTTTAGCCAGTCCCCCTCCTCTAGAGGCTCACTTCATTTCAGGGTGGGACGTAGTTGTGAAGAGATTTTAATTCCAATCCTGCTTACCCTCCCAGGTGGATGTGCACATCGGGTTTCTATTAATCACATTTTAACCTCTTCCTTCCATGTGCTATGCTACTTCACTTAAAACTGCTTGTTCTCCATATCCTTTTAGTTCATGTCGTCTTCACTTCTTACCCTTTATTTCTAAATATCTAAATCTTATTTTTCCAGGCACTTCCATTTCCCAGTTTTTTATATTTTTGTGTTGAAGAGTATTCTTACAGAACACCAACTCCCTCCTGCCCTCTGTGCATACGCAACAGAATACAATACCAAATCATGTTAATAAATTATAGGACTTGCAAAAACACAGCTGATTTTCCAGCCTACAACAGTTAACTGCAAAGCCATTTTCACCAATTGTAGACAGCATAATTACACACACACACACACGCTTCCTCTCAGGCATTCATTTGGCTGCCAGCCTGTCAAATGCCTATGTTCTAGGAGCGAACATTAGAAAGGCAATACTTTAACTCATTACATGAACATTAAAAGGCATATTTGTCTTTTGGATAGTACTTTATTGTATTCAGAAGCCACTGGAAATATTTTCCCAAATTACATGCTATAAGAGCTCTAAACTTAAAAATGTGTGAAAATTATAGTTCCCCGCCCCATCCCAATCCAATTTGTATTGTAAAGTAAACTTACTGACAACGTAGTCTTCTCTAGAAATAGAAACTCTTTCAGTGTGTGCATAGGGAGGTTTTTTAAAGGAAGGGGAAAGGGAAAGCTCACACCAGTGATAAATTTGGTCAGTAAAATTACTTTTATTCTCTTTTTTTTTTTTTAAATAGAAGGGCTTATACAATTGCATATAAAGATATTTGAAGAACATGGAAATGAAATGAAAAAAGTGTCTGGAGCGAATTCTTTTTATTGAGGAAGAGTTCACATATCTAAGTTTAAGTATTCACCTACTTTTTGCTGCCTCCTGTTAACAGGCATAATGAAAATACTGCACTGAGCATATGCATGGAAAACACAGCTAATAAAGCAAGAAATATGGTAAATATATTTCATACAACCTTAAAATAATTCCAACAATCATACAACAAGTTTTGAAGCACTTCTGTGATCTGCAGTCTTAAGATGATGTTCACTGTTCTGAAGCGTTTACAAATTGACACTTTTTTGTAGAAAGATTTTGCACTGGTTAAGAAAACCACAGCCTTAAAATTGTTGGCTTTCAGTTACAGAGGTAACAGAGAGGTATCATCTGAATTCACATCAGAGCTTTTGAAAAAAAATGGCAGCAGTACAAGCATGTGCCTCCTCCAGCGTCCAAAACTCTTTGTGGCTTTGCCATGGCCAAGGAATAGAGCTACGCAGCTCAACAGAGCAGCCAGTCTCCCCAAATACTTTGAGGCAGTCTGGCATCCGTTCTCTTGTTTACTGAAATAACGGTCTGCTAAATATAAAATGAAGCAGAAGAACCTCAACTAACCAAGAGAAGTTCCACACAAGTCTGTCAATATTGACTACACCTGGGAATTCATTAACAAAAGAGGAAAATAATTTTTTTTGACCGACCCATAGAGTAAATCTAGAGAAATGCTGCTCTGAAGATGGGAGAGAAAGAAGTTTCCATAACGTACGCTGACCCCACAGTAGAAATAAAGTGTTACAGATGATTTGTTCAGGGATGATGTAAGTCAGATTGAAGACACAAACCACGGCAGTTCCAGTCTGTTTTCCACAAGAGCTCACTCTGAACAAAGGTCTATTTACAACAGTTTTCAACCGCTTGTGGAAAAGCTACCCCAGATGTTTCAAACACCACTGCTGCTTCAATTCACTATATGCACACTGTGGGTCCACCTCAGAAACACCTTGAATAAACGCTGGCACATAACTGACACAAAAGTAGCCTGTCTCCAATATTAAAATTATGATCAGTGGAAGAGAAGCTTTTGCGCACTTCAACATTTTCTATTGCTCAGGCACTGAGGATCAATTATCTTCAGCACAGGAATTGTCTACTCGAGGTTTTTGCTAGAGCTGCTGTCCATTTCTCCCACATGTGAAAAACTGGGCTACGCTTTACCCTTTCACTTTGTTAGAATTTGGATTTATTTACATACAAAACAAGAGACGGGAGAAAGGTCTCTTGTATTAACCCAACAATGGGCACCTTCACCGTGTAATAAGAACACCTTAGGCAAGGCAGCTGCATTTACTTTAGGAGCGTATATAAAATTCAGTGTGCTGGTATCAAACAGAAACAATAATGTCAGATCATACAATGCCAGTACGTTCCGGTGGGCCCTTGACTATTAGGTGCCAAAGAACCAAAAAAAACCCCAAAACTTTTCACCACTTTAGTTCTGTTTAGAATCCTACACAATGAATAAATTACATCTTTCTGGGACAGTGTTGCTTTTACTCCTACATCTTAAAGAAATTCCAAGCTAATTAATTAGAGCAAGAAATTACATTGAGCAGGATAACGTTTTAAATGAAAGAAATTACTTAGAAACACCAATCAAAGATAATTTGATTATGATTAGCTGTGCTGAAGTCTAAGTCATTAAAATTGATGGAGAATGTTTTTACACTGGTCTATTCTATGTAATCCATTACCTACGCTATGCTCTGTAGTTCAAGTCTAACAAATGGTATCTGATAATTCAATATTGAAGACTAAAATACTTTCAATGCACCACTTGCTTTCCTACACCGACATGTTTCCAATAAAAAAAAAAGAAAAATCAGTAGCAAGTAGATTTGCAAAACTCTTCACCAGGAGAACTTCAGCTTACATGAAATATCATTCAGATTTTTACCTGCTCGCTTTCTATATCGTCACGTTTAAATATGGCTGCCGCTTTATTCTGAACAGTCATTATCTCACAAAAGTTACAACCATGGTTTGGTAAGAAATCATTCCCTGTGCTTTCTAACAGCTGAGGGCTTGCCCAAAGGTACAACATTTCTTTCCATGCTCTCAGCTGAAGTGACGAGCAAGACGAGCAGACCTATAATCAACACGCAGCTGAACAAAGGAGTGAAGGATGTTCTTGTCCAGATTAGCAAGTTGTTCTCCTGAGCAAACTTGCTTTAAATTATCCGGGGCTACAACCAGAAGATTGCAAAGTGCATGCAAGGTATCAAAGAGCTGTAACACCAGCGCAATCTGTGGTTAAGAGAAAAACAGAAAGACAGATATTAAGAGTTAGAGTTGCTTGAACTCTTGTGACACAATGTCCACCTAGATTCTCAAAATACTTCCTCCCTACAGAGGATTTACATCCATCATTGTCCCCTCATGTGTGTATAAATATATATAGACACATGTACCTATACATCTGTAGGGAGATGTGCACACACGCAAAGTTAGACACAGAACACATAATAATGCAAACTCAGTACTTCTTCAGTATACACACATGGCCTGCAAGCAATAAAATGGTATCAGGAAACTCCTCTTTAGGACATGATAAAGAACTGCTGGTATATTAACCGAATATATAACATCAGTATACAAAATGGTGATGTTCAAACAGAAACAAACTATTTTTATGAAGAAAAAGATGTCTGATTAAAAATACGAGTCCTGCTACTAATTTCGACATGGCTGTACATCACCAACCCGTACATCTTACCTTGAAGTCTTTGGCACACTTCCTATATTCAGCCACGTCACAAATAGCTAACATGCCTCCCATGCAACTGTAGGAATACTGCTGTAGGTGTTCATAGATAAGTCGATGAAAACGAACTCCAAGCTCCATCAAAACTGTGTCCACATTCTTGCCATCCATAGAATTTCTAATCTTTTCCACCTGCTTTCTAACATAGCCACAGACTTTAACACAAGCCTAAATAAAAAAAAAAAGAAAAAAAAGAATTAGGTAACTTACTTTCTAGAAATCTGTTCTTCTCAAAGTGGCTTCCACATCATAAGCTGAACATCGGTCACTAAGTCTTTAGACTTCCCACATCACGTCATTGAAATTAGTAGTTTTCCAATTAATAATTTTCCAAGAGTTTTTTATTTGCCACATAAAGATGCAAAAATGCAAGTGGAAAGATATATGCAAGACAATATTCAATTCAGTTATAGCTCACATCAGTTCAGAATAGAACAGTTTAATTTGGGCTTTTAATTCAAACAATGATCAACCAAGGCCGG